CCATTGCTATTACTTGCTTTATGTAACAGAGCTCCAAATAATAATTACTCTTTTTATATATCTACTACCCAGAATTTGAACTCCACTAGCTTTAAACAATGACTCCTAGAAGATTTCTGTTACAATATAACTGCTGCTTTGTTGAAGTAATGCATAATAATGTCACCTGGCTTTCTTTTTGCTTTTTTTTCAAACTAAGGTAAATTTCTATGACTAATTTGAAGACCTAGAACCACTGACAGTATTTTTTTAAAGAAAACAGATATGGAAAAAACATTGTTGATATTGTAAATTTTCACTGTATAGATGAGATAGTATGCATCTTGCTTTTACTTTTTGTACTTCAATTGACTTTCTTCTGAGTCTAAAAGAGACATCTGCGACTTTAAGGGCCATCCAGCATTTGAACACCCTTCCTTTGTATGCAGAATCTTGCATTTTCTCAGCGTTCATTTGAAAAATGAAAATGAGACAGATCAGAGGGACCCAACTTTTCCTAAGGGCATGTGGCTGGTCGTTAAGCGTTGTCAGGTACTATTAAAAATATTAATTTCAAGTTAGATCTTTATAACAAGCACCTTTTCATGTGAATTTTCCCATCAAATAAGCTAAACTGCTGGTGGGACAATTTGATCCACCAGTTGACAACTGTCAGACTGTTTTGCTGACCAACTTCCCTGAGTAGAATTCTGTCAACAGAACAACCCCTCTTTTGGTGACTGGCCAGATTGTCATCATGACATATTGGCTGCTTCAAACACTTCACACTTAATCCAAGAAAACTCTGCTTCACCTGCAAGGACCACTGCAACTACAGCTGATGTTGAAATTAAGACTTCTGCTTCAGAATACCTTGGTGCAGTCATGCCTGTTCTGGGCAACTTGCACCAGCTTTGAAAGATTCCACTCCCAGAAAGACAAGTTTTGGTGAACTCTAGGTGACCCTGCTCACACTACAGCTGTTCTCACTCAGGACAGGATGGGGAAACATCTCTTCAGTGACTTAGCAAAAAACAAAACAAAACAAACTGTAATGTGAGGCTTATGATTGGTCCTTTCGGCAGGCTTGGTAGTGCTATTGGTCCTTTCATATGTAAGGCTTGGTAGTGCTAGAAGCTGTGCATATGTAGGGTTGTGACTGATGAAATTACAGTCTATTCACAAGCATGCCTATCCCTGTCTTTTTGCTATATAAGCAATTCTCCACACATTTTTGGTTTAATATGAGAACCTTCTTTCCTGTGCACTACCTCCGACTACTGCAACATCAGGCCAGTTTTTTAACACCAGTAGAGCAGGCTGGGCTAGTTGCACAAAGAGCCAAGAAGAACCCAAAGCTTCTAGCTCTGACAGTGGCAGTGGCAATGAAGAGGCAGCTAAAAAATTCCAGAAAGTCACCAAGAACTGACAGCCCTGATACCCAAAGCTTGGAGCTGTAAGACCAAAGACTGCTAAAAGTTCCAGAAAGCCATTGAAAGCTACAGGCCCCAATACCCAAAGCTCTAGGTGATAGCTAAAAAGAGCAAATGAAGAAACTGAGATTGCAAAGGATGAGAGAAGTATTAAAAGGGTGATAAGCTGTGTAATTGTGGGAGCTGACACGATGAGGACTACAAGTCCTGGTCACTAGGGCTTGAAGAGTTTGAGAGAACTGTAAAGAGTTAAGGAACTGAGGGTCCTGACACCCAAAGCTTAGGACCCATAACTCTAGCCACTGGATGATGACACTGTAAGCCAAAAGCCATAAGCATCTGCCTTTAGCACCCACAGAAATAATCCTCTGGCTTTGAAAGCTTGGTTCTCAAAGCTTAAGTGTTGTAAATTTCTGGGTTTGGAAGTCCACCTTGTGAGGCTCTGGAACTCAAGACCCTCAACTATGAGGGGGCTGACAACTTGCTTGTCTGTGATTTCTGTCTGGATGGAGCACCCCTAGCCAGAAATTTGTGACAAAAATGGTGTATACTTGCCTTCCTAGGCTCCTTTAAGTTTTAGTGTGCTGGCATACAACCTAGTCTCTGCTAGTCAGACATGCCTGTGCTGAGTGGAGAACTGGTAACAGGAAGAATTAGGGATTGCTTGGAGTTCATTCTGATAATGGATGATGAGTGTTGGAGATAGCAGTGGCAGTGTTTTTGTGATTTATTTATTGGTGGTAGCAGGGTTTGAACTCAGGGCCTTGCACTTGCTAGGCAGGTGCTCTACTACTTGAGTAACGTCCCCAGCCCTTGAGTGACAGTGGTTTTAAAGGCAGTGTCAAGTGCCAGTGGTGTAGATGGCACAAGTTACAGTAGTGCAAGTGCCCAAGAGTCACAGTGTTTAACACTCTGCAGATTACACCTGCAGTGTAATTCTGAACATTGCTCATCGTTCATGTTTATATAATCTTTGGCATGGTTCTCTCATCCTCCTAGAAATCTTGTGAATGCCTTAAATTTATTTTCTGCAAAGATCAATCAGATTTGGTTTCTGATGTTTCCAACAATTTTGTTATAAAACTTTTTATGACTTTAAATTTGAGTAATTACTTGTGCACATTTATTTCACTAAAGCCTATCAACTGAGAACAGTCATATGCTTAGCCAATTAAATACCTCTTTTTTTGGCCTATGAATCTTTCTGTGCTGTAACTTCTTAATGCATTATAAAAATATGAGATTGCTACAATTTTTCCCATTCTTTCCTACATGAATTTATTGCTAAGGTGATAGGAAAATAATCTGATAAGCTAATATGATTACAATTTGAAGAGTAAATGGCATTGTTTCAGAACTAATTTTTACTCAAGATTGATTACAGGGTAAAAGTTGCTAGAGCAATAGTCCTTGCTCTAAGTCATATTACAAATTCTTTCTAAAGAAGGTTAACTACATTTCTTGGAGATAAAACCCAAGGCAATTGAGTAAAGCAACAGGTCATCAGTGTACCTTTTCCTACCTTTAGGGCAACTTTTAACTATCATATTTCTACAACTGATTAAACAAATGATAGCCTCTTTCCTGTAGGACAGGTAGAACAACTGAGATCTAAAGAATATCAGAAACATGCCAGAGGCGATAGGGCTGGTAAATGTATTTAAGTAAAAATAAAAGTAAGTTAAAGACTAAATTATTCATGTAGGAGGAACATGGGGATGGCAAGAACCATGAAAATGTTATATAAGTGACTGAAGTTTGGGAAATACCTCTCTAAAAGTATCTATAATGTTTTTATCCCTTAGGTTAAGTGTTCAAAGCAGTCACTCATTGATCAGAAGGGCATTAGCAGAGCTAGATAGGAAGGCCATTCAAGATTGTGTCTTACTATATGCCAGCGTTTGTAGTAATCATTTATAAACATCAATCAGTTTCCCCTGTTACTTGGCTGCCCACATCCACAGTACCTACTGCCCACTTAACCTCTTTGTCCTAAGCCACAGTTGATTTGGATTGAGTTGGGATAAGTCACTAAAAAAGTGAACTATGGAGAGGATGACTGAGAATACAGGCTCATTGAAAGGCTGATATGACTGTTTAGGCCAGGTTAAAGGTGTTGGAAAATAAAGCGATCTCTGTGAAGGGAGAAATGTGTAACTAACAAGCTCTGGAGGTGATTAAAAGACAGACAAGACAGAACATCAGTTTTCACAGTACCCTATGAAATTTAATTGGACTTCATTTCTTGCCCTTGGACTCAAAAGGACAGATATATCTTTAAAATGCCCACACAGTCACAACCCTGACACCTGTACTTTTTAATTTTTCTTAAGCCACTTTTAAGTGGGTTTTAGTTCCTTGCAACCCAAAGAAACCTGACTAGAAAATCAATCAAAAGATAATAAATACAATTGAAGTTGGCCTTGGGGCAAAAATGGGATGAATAAAGGAAAAAGCAGGCTGTTTTATCACTGGGGTATTGTAAAGCTATTCAAACAGATGAAAATTCTCTAAAATGAACCCTCAAAGTTGCTTTATCTTAACTTGTCTATATAGTCTACAGTAATTTAATAATTTGTCTCCAGTAATCTGATAATTTGTCTCAAATCCCCGATGTTTTCTTATGAGGCTCTTTGCTTTTAACCTGTATAATAAAAAACCATCAGTAGGTACTTCAGAAGATGAATTTTGATTTATTTGATGTTTTTTAGTTCTCTTCCCTTTTTTCCTCTTCCTTCTCCCCTTCCCACTCTCAGATTACAAACATACACACATATATATACACACAAACACTTCTTGTGAAGAAAAAAACAAGTTAACAGCTGACATGTACATCCTATTTGACCAGTGAAAACTAAACTAAAATATATATGTATTTACATAAAGCAGTTCTTTGCTTATCCTTATCTTTGTTAGCTTACATTTCAATTCTAATGAATAAAAATATTTTAAGATGGACTTTTAAAATGACATACTTGCTTATGTCTGTGTAATAGCCATGATATTCATTCTATCTTTTTCAAGTAAAAGCAATTTAAATGTTAAGTCTTTTATTCTTAGAAATAATTACTTACATAATTATTCTCTTTTCACCCACCTTCTATTAAAAGTAATTGGTAATTTTAGAATTGGTTGACCTCCTAAAGGATTGTTGTCAACTTCTTTCATTCAGCCTGGTAAAACAATAGCAATTTGTGTGTATGTGTGTGTGTGTGTGTGTGTGTTTACAGTTTAAAAAATATGTTCATATTTCCTATAGTAATCTTTAGTTCAGAATTAGCAATACAGGGCTTTATCTAGGTGAATACAAATAACAAGGTATAGTAAGCAAGTCTAAGCTTTGGTGCTGAGAAATGGTTTAGAAACCATGGTTCATCATTTCTCAGCCAACTAAATCTTGTGACTATATCTAATTGTATTACACCCAACAAATACATCTCTACTATCTATACTTATATGCATGTATATATGGCTACATGTTGAATACTTTACGTCAAATGACATCCACTCCACAGGTTGGAAGCCAAACAGAATGGAATGTGTAAAAAAGACAATACCAAAGAAGGTTTAACAGGCCATAGTAAAGGGAGTGGCATTGTTAGACAGAAGATTGAAGGTTCAAGAGAGATTAATGTGTCTATTTCTAAAGGAAATAATTGGAATGGGAACAGAAAAAGGAGGAATAGTGGCTTTTTGCTTTGTATTTTTCTGGGTGATTTTCTGTCACTCACGATAGAAAACATATTCAGTGTAAGAGGTCCAGATCTTGTCATCTGTTTGGTCATGTGTTACAGTGCAGGTGCCAGTGGAGTTACAAGCTACCATGTGGAAACCAGCATCAGCTAGTTTGTCAAAGGCTTGTTCCAGGAAAGTGAATTTGAGGTAGTAACGAGAAGTGTATCGCTCAGGAGGACGGTCCGGGTCTCTGCTCTCATTCAGAGTATCTCCAAACACTTCTTTTGCCAATGAGATCTTACCACACACCATGATTCGGGCCACACGGCGGAATTTGGCATCTGTTTGGCTGTCCCGACCCAGAGTATAAGAGCCTCGATAGCCAATAGTGATGAAGCCTGCCTTCTTGAGATCAGAACCAGTGCCTGTTGTCAGAGCTAGGGTGTTATCAGGGCCACTAATTTGGATGGTATTACTTGAAGATAGATTAAACATAGTATCCATGCTAGGGGATAGCTCTTCTAGCTCAGTTTGGCATAGGTCATTGCCAATTGAGTTGAGTATGTTCTTTTTAAGAGACAACATCTTGACCAGTTCTGGCAACTTAAAGTATTCTGCTTCTCTCTGGAGTCGACCACACTCTGGAAAGTGGTCAGGAAGCACTACTTGCAGGTCTCTCATGTAGTCTAGCACATAGCGAAAGAGAAAACCATCTCGATCTATGAAGAATCTCCCTTTGTTGTCCTGGATCAGGGAACATGGATTCTTTTCACTGAACATTTCCCAGAGCAGGGACCCAGGAATGCTGACCAAAGTAGGATAGCGAGTTATGTACACCTGACCACCTACATTGAGCTCAATAATCTCAGGAAAATTACTGAAGTCCTCACTTGGTTTGGTACAACTTGATTTTTCTAGCACAGCCATATTGACCTGCAAAAACAAAACAGATTGGTTTTAAGTTAGGGATTTACATAACAGGGATTCTGTTTAAAAGTGTTAGTTTTCTGCACACGTACACCGTAAATATCAAGAAACTCAAGCAAAAGCATAACCTTTTATTAATTAACTGTTTGAGAATGGCAGTATAGAAAAATAGCACATGGTTTGGCTTTGCAATTTTTTTTTCCTTTTTTTTCTCAGGTTCTGGTGATTGAACTGATTGAACCAGGGCCTGTAGCACTCTAGGCAAGTGCTCTGTCGCTGAGCTGTACCCCAAGCCATTACAATGTTTTTTTTTGATGTCCTTCTTATTTTAATTGTTGTGCTGGGTGGGGGCACACTGTGGCATTTACAAAAGTTCTTACAATATATCAAATATATCATACTTGAATTTACCCTTTCCACCTCTGTCCTTTTAATGTCCTTCTGAATGCCCATGTGTCAGATGATCATATACCTCATTTCATGGCAAGTTCATGCAAGGCCATCCCCATTCCTGTCCATGCCTCTAACATAGGCAACTATTTCAACAAGTTTAGTGTGCATCTTTTTGTTTGTATGTATTCTTGCAAAATGGGTTTTATGGTTTTAAACACATATATTATCACATTATATATTTCATTCTTTTTCACTCTCGGCAATGTATTATTCACATCCTTTTATGTTGCTATGTATATATCTAATTCCTTGCTTCTGATTATGGCATAACACCCTGATGTATGCACCCAAAACATTTTATCATCCACACTCCCAGTGATTGAAACTCAGATTATTTTCAGCTTCCTGCTCTAGATGTACACCCTTGCACATGTTCTCTATGATTTCAAAATCATGGCCGATTTCTCTCTTCTGAACTTTAACTTCATACTTGTTGAATGCCCTGGAAGCACCTTGAATTCAGCACATTCAAAACCATTTTTATGTATGTGAAAGTGTTTTATAAAATACAAGTTATTATTAACTGTTTGTCTTCATGTTTCTAGCCTAAACAGGTCACATTTTCCCTATACGTAATACAACAATTTTCTTAGTCATGTAAACTTGAAATTCAGAAACTTCAGAGCCATCTTATTGACTTATTCACCTTCTTATCCACATTTCTCACAAACCTATATATCGTTTCTTCATGATGTCTCTCTCACACACACATTATGATGACTGCTTCTGATTCTGTATTCTGCACTAATATGAGAATCTCCTAAGTGATCTATCTCTGGTTGCTACCTTTTCACATCTATCACCCCCCTGCCCAACCCAAAATATTCAAAATTCTGATATCAGATCAGTTATTATCATGTTATCTCTGTTGAACCATCTTCAGTGGCTCCACTTTGCCTATATACAAATCCAAACTCCTTATCGTGGAACTCAAAGATATCTATAAATTAATCTTATTCTCTCTTTTATGATAAGAATACCTAACACTATATAGGACTTACTATGTGCTAGGTATTGTTCTTAGCTGATGAAGTGGGTACTATTTTTAGTTCCAACTGATAAATAACTGCCCAACATGTAACCAATAAACCTGGTACTCAAACTCAAGCAGTATGACTCCAGTGTCTACGTTATTAACTACTCTATTATACTGTCTCTTTTAAATTATATCTGCAAAGATCTTTTACATATAGGAAAAAGGGTGTGGCTTGTTAATTCCTTGCCCATGATAAGTTCATTTTTTTTGCCTTTGCCTCTCACCTTCTGGAAAGCCTTATTTCACTTCCTTGATATCCACCTGCACTTCAAATAACAATTCAGATGCTAAATAAGATTAGTGTCTTCCTTATATTTCTATATTCAACTTGAAAACCTCATTTTTTTCTTACTCATATGGCTTTCTACTATTTTACATAATATAATAATGATAGCAGTAATAATATAAATAATAATAGTTAACACTTATGAAATACTTACTCTATACCAGTCTTCTTCTGACCCCTTTTTATGTGATAACTCTATTTCTAACAGTCCAATGAAGAAATACTATTGAACAAAAATGCAGATGCATAGCCTGTTATAATTCTTCACGAGGACTACTGCTTTCAGTCTTCACACACTAATCTGCCCTTCATACAACTAGAATTATCTTACTAAAAGGCAAAACTGAGTCTGACCTTCCTTGCATTGTTAAAGGTTCTTCAGTGTCTACAAAATGAAATTCATACATATTAAATAAAATGTTTGAAAAATTCCACAATCTGGTCTTTACCTTGCTCATTTGGTCTTTAATTCTAACCATCCTTCCCTTTGAGGGACTATAAACTTTAGTAATATCCAGTCTAGATCCAGCTCATCTTACTCATCCACTTTTACATGTCCACATGCCTTGAACTTATGATTCTCTGAGCTTGAAATTTCCTCTTTTATTTTACCAATATTCAATCTTCCTGTCCCTTCTTGTAAAATAATATACCAAAGTGGCAGATTTGAATTTGAATCCTGACTCTGCCACTGCTAACTACTTATTTTCTGAGCTTCTGTTTCCTTATCCAGAAAATGGGTATAATAAAAATTCTTAATTAATAAGATGAGGATGAAAGTATAAAGTATTCAGCACACTTCCTGCACATAGTAAGTGCTTAACAGATAGTTGGTTATATTAGCTCCCTTAACTAATACATGTCTTAGAAAAAGCAGTGAAGGATTGCTTTCCATTGAGTTCATTATGGCCCTAGAAGTCTAGGTGATCCATTGAGTTTCTGCTAAAATGAAGCATCGTCTATAACTTTCTATCCCATTCCTTTATATTCCTTTTTCTTGCAGGACTGGGGTTTGAACTCAAGGATTCACACTTGCAAAGCAGATGCTCTGCCACTTGAGCCACACCTCCACACCATTTTGCTCTGGTTATTTTAGAGATGGGGGTCCATGCTGGCCTTGAATCCCAATCCTCCCACTCTTAGATTCCTAACTAGCTAGGATTACTGTCCAGTTTACATTCTGTCTTTTTAAAAAGTGTTTTTATTAGTATATGATAGTAGTACGCGGCGGGGGGGGTGTTGTGACATTTCCATATATACATGTATTGTACTCCAGTTGGGTTTATCCCCTTTATATTCTTTATTATTGCTGCAGTTTCAAAATATCTCTATTGAAGTACTTAACACAGCATACTGGAATTGTTTTATCTATTTATGTATATGTATAAATGTATATATAAGTTTTGTTTGATATACACATACATATATGTATATATACATGTATATTTATATATACATGTCTGTGCCTAATAAACCCTGATACAAAAATAATCTTGGTTTACAAATGTTAATCTCATTAGTTTCATAATCTTACAACATGAGTATAAATCCATTTAAAGCAATTCACTTTAATATATGTATATGAACAAGAAATGTACATGCACTAGATTTTTGCAGATTTCCAAATTTTTTTAAAAGGTGTATTTATTCCTTCCAAAACAGTAACAAAAGTTCAATATGCTTTTTCTTCATTGTACAAACAGATCTGTTTACAGCTAAATATCTGAAAAAAATACCAGTGTAAAATTGTTTTCTTTCTTGTTGCTTTAGAGATACTTCTGTCCAGGTCAACTAATGGTCTAAAATCCTGTAAGTCAGAGTTACTTTCAATTTAAGGACTCAAGCTGGGTAATTCTATTTTGCCTCTTACATTAAGAGAAGAATTTTTAGCTAACTTATAAGGACAGAACTTTTATTTCTGGAGAAAGAAGTCAGAAGAAAAGACAAGAACTACACAGTACCTACAACTGCTGCTGCTCATTAGCACAAACACAAACATTTTTAAACGTAAATAGAAATTTTACTCTGAAAGTTATTTGTGAGACTGTGAGACGATTTTTGAGAGCTAGGATTCTCAGAAAGAGGTTTTTAAAAAAAGTAAGAAAAATGTAAGTAGTTTCCCAATAAAGAATGAAGTCTAATTCAAAAGAGCCCTTCATAACATGAAGTCAAGAAGGATATATTCCCCAAATAGGAACATTCTAATCTGTTTGCATGTATTTGCTATGTAAAATTTTCTTTTACATATAAAAATCTTTTGATATTCCTTCCAGAATTATCTGTTTGGCTAATTTTGTTCAGGGGAAAGCAAAAAACATTTCATTCAATCTAACCATCCCTCAGTTTTTTAAATGCTTGTTTGGGAAAGAGTCTTTTAAGGAATCCTGAAATGTCTCTTTAATTCTCTTTTGTGAAAAATTTAGAGGCTGATAAAGGATTGTGGTTAGCTGCCCTCAGTAAATCAAAGAAATAAAAATCTCTGTAAGGAGGAAGTAAAGGAGACAATGTGTAATATAAATGGTTTGAACCACATGAAAATACTCTTTGAACCCAGCTGCATACTGCAAGCTCAGAAGAGCTGAGTTTATTTCAGTGTTTCAAAGGAATGTTTGAAGGAAATAGCTACTGCATCCCTCCCTTTCTCCAGTCATAATTCTGCTCCTAATTTTAGGACTTGTAACCAAGATTCAATGCTTTTTAAAGAAAAAAAAGTCAGAAATATCAAAACATGCCATACTATAATCTCTTCATGACACCTGAGTTCTTCCTGAAAATGTGAAGGAAGAATTTTCTAAGGAAATCACTTTATAAATGACCAGTTTCCAATTTTATTAAGCTTGAAATCCTTATGTCTTAATCTCTCCTCCTTTTCTCCCTTTTTCTTTCCTCATCTTCTTCATTCCTTTTTCTGTCCTTCTCTGTCTCTCTCTTCTTTGACCAATCTGTCTTAAATATACACTCACTTATAAGAATAGACCCACCAATTTAAATTAGAAATGTGGTTCCCACCTTTTATGTCGCTCTGATTCAGAGAAATCCAAGAAATCAAAGTAGATAACAGTTGAACTGGAAGTGTAAGCAAAAGGAGAAAACAACTTTAAGTAAGAATTAAGAAATAGTTTTTCTTCTACTTGTAGGAGAAAATCCTCAGCGGCATTCCCTTCCCCTTCCAACTAGCTTATTATCTATGGCTTTTCGTCTGCTCATAAAATGAAATGCTATTACTCAGATGCTTTAAAATCAACCAAAATGTTTTAAAAATCAACCAAATGGTGAAAAGCAATCTGAATTTTCTGAATCCCCCTTCGAGAAGTGCCTCCCCTGCTTTTGGATCTTTAGCCTGCTTTCCAATCAGCGGGTTTCACATGCAGTCCTCTCCATAAAGGACAAACAGAGACATGCGCATCCCTAGCTCAAATGCAGAAGCTCCTGAATTCCAGAAGCAGTGGACTGAAAAGGAAAGACAAGGAGAGCAATAGAGTGGTTACCTTCAATCTCCAGCCACTGTGATGTTGGCAAGAAAAGCTTCAGTCCCTTCTGCCTCGCTGCTCTGCCTGCTCAGCTCTGCTTGTGTAATGCCTTCCTGTTCTCTTTCCTCTCCCTTGCTGTGCGCTTTGGTGCTTGGTATGAGTTTTCCTTTTAATACTAGCAATCCTGTAGACCCTCCTCCCCGGCTATGACATACTTGGCTCCCTTTCCTGCCGGCCTGTCAGATGGAAATGGCAAAGTCTCTACTCTGCAGTTTGAAGAAGAAGCAAAGGAAAGAGAAAGGAAGATTGATGGCAGCAGTGATGTTAATAAACAAGTAGAATTTGGGGGCAAGGGAGAGTTTTTGCTCATCTTTTTCTTAGTTTAAGTAGAACAAATAAATAAATATTTACCAATTCATGCAAGTTACCTGATAATATCTTTTGAGTTAAGGTCTTGCCCAGTATGCCCTCAAACTCAATCCTCCTGCCTCTACCTCTATATTTTGGGATTATAGGCATGCACCACCATGCCTGACCCTCAATGCACTTTTTTTTTATTATGGTTCAATTCTAATCTTGAATATTAGATATGCTTAACAACTTTATTGTGATAATTTACTAAGCAATTCCTGTGTGTGAAATAATATGCTAACTACTGAGGACAAATAAATACATAAGACGTATTTTTCATTCTCAAGAGCCCAGGATAACAAATAAATTCACTATAAGATGGTATTATAGAAAAGGAAATGCAGCATTGTGAGAACTCAAAGGAGAGACTCCTAGGGTATCTAGGGATTACTGAATGCTTCCTGGAGGATATGGCTAAAGTGAGTCTTACCACATGAATAAGAATTAACCAGAAGAAGAAAGATAGGATAAGTGTTCCAGGCAGAAAAAACAGTGTCAGCAAAGACAGAAAGGTGAGAAAAAGCATGTCATGTCCCAGGAACTGTATTCAATTTTTTAAATGCTGAAGTCAAGAATGGCAGGTATTTCATTTCCAAAATCTAAATTAATTTTCTTTGAATTTTCTATGTAATTCAAGTAAAGAATGGACCAATTATCTGATATGGGTATTTGTAACATAAGGTATTTCATTTCACATACAATCTCTCTTTTTATCCTCTAGTTAAATCATTGAATTGAAATGTGGATTTTTCAACAAGAAAATGAGAATGTTGCCATGGCCATGCCTCTCTGAACCTTAAACTTTTTCAAATAGTCAAGCTGGTTTCTGAGAGATAATGCTAGAAATGTTGTGGTTTGGGGTGAGGATATATTTGCCTGTAAGAAACAGAAAGCCAGACTCAATAATAAGGGGATATGTATTTTCTCATATAACAAATCTTTAGGTTGGTTAATAATACCATTCATTATTTTAGTATCTAAATGAATTAATTAAAGATTCCTTTCATTGCCATGTGTAACTGTCTTCAACATGTAAGCAACTCCTTTCACACTCACCAAACGACTTTAGCAGCTTCAAACATTGCACAATTATATAGCATAGCGTAAACATACAGAAGTGAATAAAAGGGGCCATGATTACAAACTAAAGCATTTTAGACTCTAATTACAAGATTTCATTACCTGTATTTAAAGTTTTCTTTTTAAGGTAGGAAAATCCCTTCCAGAAAAGCTACCTGTAACTCCAGACATTCCCACAGATCACATTGGCCCTGGTTGGGTCATATGTCCACCACTGTTTCAATCACTGGCAAGGGGAATGTGCTAACCTTCATTAGCTTACTTCTATCTTAATACATTCCATGGGCTAGGGAAAGATGCAGTTTCTTCTAACATACAACTGTCTAAAGTCTAAGGAAGAAGCTGAACAGTAGCTGTTGGGTAGGCAAATAGTAATGTACGTCACAAGCCATTCATAGTTGAACTTGCCTATCATAGGTATTTCATGTAAGTAGAATTATACAATTCCACAAAACAACCCCTCTTTTTGTGTACAACTCATTTGACTTAGAAAATGTGTTATATATACATATATATGCATATATATCTTTGCTTTTTATAGACGTTTTAGGGTCACAGCAAAATTGAATGAAAAGTTCAGCAATTTCCTATATACCCTTTTCCGCTCCACCATACAACTTTCTCCTCAACATTTCCAAACCAGAATGGTACATTTGTTACAACTGATGAATGTACATAGGTGCATCATTATCACTTGCAATTTACAGTTGACATTAGAGTTTGTTCTTGGTATTGCACATCTTATGAGCTTAAATAAATTTACAATTCATATTATCATGTAGAATAGTTTCACTACTTGAAAAATCCTTTTTGTTCTATTTATTAATTCCTTCCTCCCTTGTAATCCCTGGCAACCATTGATCTTTTTATTGTCTTCATAGTTGTGCCATACAGTATGTAGCTTTTTCTAATTGACTTTCTTCATTTAGTAATATGTATGCAAATTTCCTTCATATTTTTTCATGACTCGATAGCTTATTTCTTTTTAACACTGAATAATATTCCACTGCCTCGATATACAACTGCTTATCCATTCAACTACCGAAGGACATCTTATCAGTGCTTACAGGTTTTGACAATTATAAATAAAGCTAAAACATCTATTTGCAAGTTGTGTGAACATAAGGTTTCAACTCCTTTGAGTAAATACCAAAGAACACAATTACTGTATCTTAAAAAAAGATTAATTTACTTTAGTATGAAACTGACAGACTGTCTTCCAAAGGGGCTATATTATTTTATTTTCCCACCAGTTAATGAATGAGGATTCCTGCTGCTCCACCTCCTCATCAGCATTTGACATTGTCAGTTTTCTGATTTTGGCCATTCTAGGTATGTACTGGGATCTCATTGCTGTTTTAATTTGCATTTCCCTGATGACATATTATGTAGAACATATTTTCATATGCACTTTGCCATATATATGTATATTTATTTATCAGAGTATTATTCAGCCATAAAGAATAACAGAATCATATAGTTTGCTGGAAAATCGATGGAACTGGAGTTCATCACATTAACAAAAATAAGCCAGAATCACAACAATAAGAATCACATGTTTTCTCACATAAGTGGAATTTTTTTAAAAGACATGATGGGAGGCAGAGATAAGAAGATCCTGGTTTGAGGCTAGCCTGGACAAAGTTAGCTAGACTGTACCTCAGAAAAGAAGCCAGGTGTGAGAGTCCACACCTGTAATCCCAGCTATTTCATTTTATTATTCATATGTGCATACAAGGCTTGGGTCATTTCTCCCCCCTGCCCCCACCTCCTACCTTACCATCCACTCCACCCCCTCCCTCTTCCCCCCACCCCCTCAATACCCAGCAGAAACTATTTTGCCCTTATTTCTAATTTTGTTGTAGAAAGAGTATAAGCAATAATAAGAAGGAACAGGGTTTTTGCTGGTTGAGATAAGGATAGCTATATAGGGCATTGACTCACATTGATTCCTGTGCGTGTGTGTTACCCAGCTATTTTGGAAGCAGAGATTGGAGGACTGTGGCCCAAGGCTGACCTGGGCAAAAGCATGAGACATTATCAAAAACAAACTAAAGCAAAAAGGGCTGGAGGCATGTAGTAGAGTGTTTGCTTAGCAAGCAGATTTGGCCCTGAGTTCAATCCCCAGAACAGTCAAAAAAAAAAAAAACCCAAAAAACCCCAAACCCCAAAAGATATGAAAATAGATGGGGGTTATTAGGGAATGGGAAGGGACAGTGGAAGAGGGGAGGAGCATAAGTGTGAGTAATGTGGGGTAAGTATGATGAAAGTGATTTATATACATTTATGAAAATGTCATAATGAAACTCACTATTTTGTACAATTAATATATACTAACAAAAAACCATGTAAGCATAAAACGTTATCACCAAATTAAACATCATATAGTTATTTTTATGTTATCTTCTAAGAATTTTACAATATTGCAAATTGCATTACTGTGTTCCATTTTGAGTTAAATTTTGTGAAGGGTATTGTGTCTAATTTCATATTTTTATATGTGGATGTCCATTTATTCCAGCACCTCTTGTTAAACAGTCTATTATTTCTTTATTGTTTTGCCTTTTCTCCTTTGCCAAAACTCAGTTGATCATATTTATGTGGTTCTATTTTGTGAACTCTCTGTCCTGGTCCAACTATCTGTCTATTCTTTGATCAATATCACATTACTTTGATTATTGTAGTTTTGTAGTAAGCTTTGTGTGTGTGTGTGTGTGTGTGTGTGTGTGTGTGTGTGGTACTGAGGTCTGAACCCAGGGCCTCTACCACTTGAGCCACTCTGCCAGTAAGTTTTGAAGTCAGCTATTTTTCCATTTATCTTAGTTTTCTCTTCATCAATACTATGCTGACTATTCTGGGTCTTTTGCCTTTCCATATAAACATTATAATCACTTTATTAATACCCACAAAACAACTACTGAAATCTTGGCAATATTAAATATGCCTATCCATGATTGTGGAATATTTCCATTTATGTAGCTCATTTGTTCGGTTTTGCTTCATTAGAGTTTGGTAGCTTTTCTCATATAGCTCTCATAAATATATTGTTAAATTCATATTAATGTATTTCATTCTGGGGGATGTTAATGTAAATGGTATGTTTTTATCTTCAAGTTCCACTTATTCATTGCTGGTATATAGGAGAATGACTGACTGGAATATTAATCTTTTATCCTATAACTTTGCTATAATCTCTTACTAGTTTTGGGAGTCTAGTTTTGTGAGTTCTTTCAGACTTTCTGTACAGATAACCATGCCACCTGGGGAAAAAAGTTTTATTTCTTCCTTCCTACTCTATAATTTTTAAAATTTTTCTTCTCTTTTCTTACCACATCAACTAGGACTTCCAGTACAATGCTGAAAATACAGTAGCGTGATGAGATAGCCTTACTGTGCTCCTAGTTTACTGAGAGTTTTTTTTTAAGTATGAGTCAGTGTTGAACAATGTCAAATGCTTTTCTGCATCTGCTGGTATGATGAATTACAGTAATTGATTTTTGAATGTTTAACTAACCTTACATACCTGAGATGAGTGCCAGAAGGTTGTGGTGTATAATTCTTTTACTATATTGTG